CTTAGTTAAAGAATTTCTCCTCCCACTCAGTTATCTTACTTTACGGCAACCCACACAAGTTAAATAATATCAAGACCAACAAAAGAAACCGACTGAAGGATGGACAAAGAAGTCACTAAACAGGTAAGTTAAATGATTAGTTTTTGGGTTATTGAATACAGTGATATATTGCAATTATGCATTTTTTGTTATTTAAACTATAAATATCGCAAAATTATGGTTTATTTCTCAAAGTGGCACCCAAGGGCGGCTTGTCCATTACGCGAAGTAAGCGGTCGCAGAACACTTTTTTTTGCCAGGGGCGCAGAGGCGCCTCTGTAAATGCCCCTCGACCGCCACTTGAGGAGCGCCCCCTCAGCTCACAACAGCCCTAGCAGTCCGGGGGGAGCCTCGGCTTTCTTGCCTCGCTTCTCTTCCCCGTTCCCAAAGGGGCCGGGCCCTTGACCCTCGCCTAGCCCCTCTCTTTCCTGCTCCACCCAGCCACCGGGTGCGCGAGCAGAGCCGCGCTCAATCGTGCTCCGCGTTCGATCTCTTCCCCATGACCGGCTCCCTTTCCCGATCCCCCGGCGCTCCACCCGCCTCCTCTCCTCTCCCCAATCCGGGAGGGCCAAGGGGCGGAGCCGCCGCGCCTGGCCCCTTCGGGTGCAGAGGCGTATCTGAAGACCCCAGCGTGCGCACCAAAAGTCGCCTCTTCTCCTGACTTTCTCTTCAGCCATTGGGACCAAGAGAGAGAGAGAGAGCCCCTCCAGCTGGAGGTATCTCCCACCTCCGCTCCCTCCTTTGTTTTTGCGCCTACCTTCAGGAAAGGTGGGCATCTCCACCTCTCTCTCTCTCTCTGTCTCTTGGTCCCAATGGCTGAGGAGAAAGTCAGGAGAAGAGGTGACTTTTGGTGCACACGCCGGGGCCTTCAGGCACGCCTCCGGACCCAAAGCGGGCCAGGCAAGGGAGCAAGTGCGGCAAGTGTAGTTACTGGGATGTATAGTTCACCTACAATCAAAGAGCATTCTGAACTCCACCAATGATGGAATTGAACCAAATATGGCACACAGAACTCCCACGACAAACAGAAAATATATATATATCAATGATTGGTTGGGGGGGGGGGGGGTGCCAAAATACTGTTTGCTTACCATTGAAAATTACCTAGGGCCGCCTCTTGACATGCCTTCTTCCTCTTGGCATTTTGAGCTAAGTTGCCATCATGTCTAGAGGCATTCTCTCTCCTGATGTTTTGCCTGCATCTATGGCTAGCATCTCAGAGGTAGTGGTTTACCATGCTTCAAACACCAAGAAAGGAGATTCCATCTGAAAGCCTTCGACAATGAACTTCCTGACTGTGAGAGCTGTTCAGCAGTGGAACTCTCTGCCCTGGAGTGTGGTAGAGGCTCCTTCTTTGGAAGCTTTTAAACAGAGGTTGGATGTCCATCTGTCGGGAGTGCTTTGAATGCAATTTTCCTGCTTCTTGGCAGAATGGGGTTGGACTGGATGGCCCATGAGGCCTCTTCCAATTCTATGATTGGGTTGCTATAGGTTTTTTCGGGCTGTATGGCCATGGTCTAGAGGCATTCTCTCCTGACGTTTCTCCTGCACTTTGGCAAGCATCCTCAGAGGTAGGATGCTTGCCAAAGTGCAGGCGAAACGTCAGGAGAGAATGCCTCTAGACCATGGCCATACAGCCCGAAAAAACCTACAACAACCCAGTGATTACGGCCATGAAAGCCTTCGACAATTCTATGATTCTATACTGAGAGGGCAGGCCGTTGCCAAGATTTTGGTGACAGAAGCAACAAGGTTCACATCCTGAACGCTTGGAAACAGAGGGAATTGTTTTCTCGTCCTGATGAGTGGAACAAACTATAGGCCGAGGTGGGCAGCCATTCCTTCAAGCTGCTCCAGCAGTTTCCAATTTGCTGCCTTACATCTGTGATGAGATGATTAGACACCAAAGTACTCATCACTTCACGTTGCCTCGCGTCACATTACATCTCCTCCGCACTGTTTTTAAGCAGCCTTGACGGCGGACGCAAACTAAAGGCGAGGCTTTTCTGATCGGGACACCTGCTATCAATTTGGGGGAGCAGACAAGGGGGGTGCTTTCAGACCCACAGCGTCCCCCCTGCCCTACCATGTCTGGCTGGAGAACAGGAATACATAGCAGATGGCATGCAGGGAGCAAGAACACATGGCACAAGGTGGGTTATCTGAGGGTATCTGCATGCCTTTCCTAACACCATTCTGGAAGCCAAACGTCATGTGGGTTTCCTCCCTTGTGCTGACTTAATGAAAACCTTCATGCAAACTGGAATAACAATTCAGCACTGTGGAAGCGTTCAAATACCATGTTCTCTATCAGGAACTAAGGGGATAAAGACAACATGTAGGGTCTGAGGATACATTACAAGTTTTCCTTATTAATTAAATGGAGAACCTACTTGCCACAGTGGCCAGTTACGTGGCTTGTAAACGCCTTCTAGGCCAGCGTTTCTCAATCTGGGGGACCTCTGGGGGGGGGGGCAATAGTGTCAGAGGGTCAGCAAAGACCATCAGAAAACAAAGTATTTTCTGCTGGTCATGGGGGTTCTGTGTGGGAAGTTTGCCCCAATTATATCATTGGTGAGGTTCAGAATGCTCTCTGATTGTAGGTGAACTATAAATCCCAGCAACTACAACTCCCAAATGTCAAGGGCTATTTCCCAAACTTCACCAGTATTCACGGAGACCCCGACGGCACAGTGGGTTAAACCCCTGTGCCAGCAGGACTAGAGACCGACAGGTCGCAGGTTCAAATCCGGGGAGAGGCGGATGAGCTCCCTCTATCAGCTCCAGCTCCTCATGCGGGGACATGAGAGAAGCCTCCCAGAAGGATGATAAAAACATCAAATCATCTGAGCGTCCCCTGGGCAACGTTCTTGCAGATGGCCAATTCTCTCACACCAGAAGCGACTTGCAGTCTCTCAAGTCACTCCTGACACACACACACACACACAAAACAGTATTCACATTTGGAGATATTGAGTATTTGTGCCAAGTATGATCCAAATCCATCATTATTTGAGCCCACAGTGCTCTCTGGAGGTAGGTGAACTACAACTCCAAAACTCAAGGTCAATGCCCATCAATCTCTTCCAGTATTTTCTGTTGGTCATGGGAGTTCTGTGTGCCAAATTTGTTTCAATTCCATTGTTGATGGAGTTTAGAAGGCTCTTTGATTGTAGGTGAACTATAAATCCTAGCAACTACAACTCCCAAATGACAAAACCAATCCCCCCCCCCCAACCCCACCAGTATTCAGATTTGGGCGTATTGGGTATTTGTGCCAAATTTGGTCCAGTGAATGAAAATACATCCTGCATATCAGATATTTACATGATGATTTATGACAGTAGCAAAATTGCAGTTATGAAGTAGCAACAAAAATGTTATGGTTGGGAGTCATAAACATAAACATAAAATCCTGCAAATCTCTTGGGAAGACAGGCGGATGAATGTCAGCGTGCTGGAAGAAGCAAAGACCACCCGCACTGAAGTGATGGTCCTCCGCCATCAACTCCGCTGGACCGGCCATGTTGTCCAGATGCCCGACCACTGTCTCCCAAAGCAGTTGCTCTACTCTGAACTCAAGAATGGAAAACGGAATGTTGGAGGACAGGAACAGAGACTGAAAGATGGGCTCAAAGCCCACCTTAAAATCTCTGGCATAGACACTGAGAACTGGGGAGCCCTGGCCTTTGAGCACTCTAGCTGGAGGTCATCTCTGACCAGCAGTGCTGTAGAATTTGAAGAGGCACAAATGGAGGGCAAAAGAGAATAATGTGCCAGGAGAAAGGCCCATCAAGCCAATCGCGACTGGGACTGCCTTCCACCTGGAAACCAATATCCTCACTGCGGGAGAACATGCAGGTCAAGAATAGGGCTCCACAGTCACCTATGGACCCACCACCAGGACATCGAACTTGAAGGACAATCTTACTTGGGCAATGAGGGATCACATTGGTAAGTAAGGTGAACTATATATCTCAGCAACTACAACTCCCAAATGTCAAGTTTATTTTCCCCAAACTTCACCATTGTTCACACTTAGGCATATTGAGTATCCATGCCAAGTTTGGTCCACATCCATCACTGATTGAGTCCACAGTGCTCTCTGGATGTAGGTAAACTACAACTCCAAAACTCAAGGTCAATGCCCACCAAACCATTCCAGTATTTTCTGTTGGTTATGGGAGTTCTGTGTGCCAAAATTGGTTCAATTTTATCGTTGGTGGAGTTCAGAATGCTCTTTGATCGTAGGTGAACTATAAATCCCAGCAACTACAACTCCCAAATGATAAAATCAATCCCCTCCTTTCCCAGTATTCAAATTTGGGCGTGTCGGGTATTTGTGCCAAATTTGGTCCAGTGAATGAAAATACATCCTGCATATCAGATATTTACATTACGATTCATAACAGTAGCAACATTCCAGTTATGAAGTCGCAACAAAAATAATGTTATGGTTGGGGGTCACCACAACATGAGGAACTGTAGTAAGGGGTCACCATTAGGAAGGTTGACTGTTCTAGGCAATTGAACTTTCTCAATGACTGGTATAGTGGTCTCTGAAGAAGGAAACTTTGTATTACTAGATTTCCCATCCTAGTTTTTGCCTAACTTCAGAGGTTGACCATGTCATCCATGTCACTCGACTTGCAAATGCTCAGATCACCTGTAGTTAGTGCATTAAATCCCAATTTCTATCCTTGGAGCCACAAAGTGAGGTATTTCCTATTCCTTTTTTCTGAGACTTGTCTTGATTCTGTTCTTGGGTGGAGGACCCCAGAAACAATGCAAGTTTCTAGATCAGTGTTGCAATTAGATGGAAGCACTGTATTTCCAGACAGGACATTTCTCATGATCTTATTTTCAGAGCTGAAAGTGAGTGCACATTTCCATTGCTTGGAAGAGATTCATAGTCTTAGCAATTCCAGTTACTGGAGGCAGGGCAATCAAACATTGCTTACCTCTAAACCCATTTCCATTGCCAGTGGAGCAAGCTGGAGAAGGAGACCCTTGGGGTCGGATGACGGGAGCAAAGGCACTCTTTTGTTTGACCGCAGGAAAGACAGAAGAGGAGAATGGAAGGATGGAGGAAGCGCTGGATGAGCCAATAGTTGGACTTGAAGACATCACTGAGGAAAAGATGAAAACAGAAACATCCTGTAAGAAAGACCACCTCTCTCGCATTCTATCCTCAGTCTCACTACCCGAGATGGCTCATTATGCAGACAAAGGTTTTACATAAAGTTTACATATGCTAATCTGTAACTAGAACGACTCTCTGGGATGGGTCTCGGGGGCATGGTTATGTCGTGGCTCCGGTCCTTCCTGGAGGGACGAACCCAGATGGTGAAGCTGGGAGACGCCTGCTCTGGCCCCTGGCCTTTGACCTGTGGGGTCCCGCAAGGCTCTATTCTGTCTCCCATGCTTTTTAACATCTACATGAAACCGCTGGGAGAGGTCATCCGGAGTTTTGGAGCTAGGTGCCATCTCTATGCGAATGACACACAGCTCTACTACTCCTTTCCACCTAACTCCAAGGAGGCCTCTCGGGTGCTGGACGAGTGCCTGGCCGCTGTGTCTATCTGGATGAGGAGGAACAAGCTGAAGATCAATCCCGACAAGACAGAGGTCCTTCTGGTTGATCGTAAACCTGACCGGGGTATAGGGTGGCAACCTGTGCTTGAGGGGGTTGCACTCCCCCTGAAGTCACAGGTCCGCAGTTTGGGAGTCCTCTTGGATTCATCGCTTACGCTTGAGGCTCAGGCGTCGGCGGTGTCTGGGAGGGCTTTCGCACAACTGAGACTCGTGCGCCAACTGCGACCGTACCTCGCGAAGGCAGATCTGGCCGGAGTGGTCCATGCCTTGGTCACCTCCAGATTGGATTACTGCAATGTGCTCTACGTGGGGCTGCCCTTGAAGACGGCTCGGAAGCTCCAACTGGTCCAACGATCAGCAGCCAGGATGCTAACTGGGGCCCCTTACAGAGAGAGGTCAACCCTCCTGTTCAAGGAGCTCCACTGGCTGCCGTTTATATTCCGAGCCCAATTTAAGGTGCAGGTGCTTACCTACAAAGCCCTGAATGGTTTGGGTCCTGCCTACCTGCGTGACCGCATTTCCATCTACGAACCCACACGTTCACTTCGGTCATCTGGAGAGGCCCTGCTTGTGATCCCACCTGCGTCACAAGCGCACTTGGTGCGGACGCGGGACAGGGCCTTTTCCGTGGTGGCCCCCGACTCTGGAACACCCTCCCCAAAGACCTTAGACAGGCCCCTACATTGGCTGTCTTCAGAAAGAACTTGAAGACCTGGCTTTTCTGATGCGCCTTCCCAGATTAGGAAATCTCCACTACCAAGTCCCATAAGCACTTTACCAGAACCAATGATTGCTGCACATCGCACATCACACTTGCCCTAGAAGCCTTATATACATCTCCTGTCACATCAGCACTTTTAATTCTTGTACCCGTTACTCTGGCCTGGCCCAGTTTTATGGTGTTTTAGTGTATTGTGCCTGTTGTTCATTTTGCTTTATTCTGTTTTAATTGTTTGATTTGCTTAGATTGTATTGTTGTGTTGTGTGTTGAGGCCTCGGACTGTGTAAGCCGCATTGAATCCTTCGGGAGATGCTAGCGGGGTACAAATAAAGTTTAATAATAGTAATAATAATAATAATAATAATAATAATAATAATAATAATAGAAAAAAACTCACCATGCACCTGATGAAGTGCATTCATATATTTCCAAATATATTTTTACCAAGTTTTAAAAGTGGGGATATATAGAGTAGATGTTGCTGTTCACTCTCGTATTTGCTGTTGAAGTCCTTGGCTTGCTTTTAAATAAGGAGAGGATGGTTTGGGGAACTTCTAAACTTTAGAATGATTGCAGTTTGACATGATTTTAACTTTTGTTGTGTGTGTCAGGAGTGACTTGAGAAACTGCAAGTCACTTCGAGTGTGAGAGAACTGGCCGTCTGCAAGGACATTGCCCAGGGGAAGCGCGGATGTTGTGACGTTTTACCATCCTTGGAGGAGGCTTCTCCATGTCGCTGCATGGGGAGCTGGAGCTGACAGAGGGAGCTCATCTGTGCTCTCCCCGTATTCGAACCTCCAACTTGTGTCAGTCTTCAGTCCTGCCGGCACAAGGGTTTAACCCATTGTGCCACCGAGGGCTCCATGACTTTAACTGCCATGGTTCAATGCTATGAAATCATAGTAGTTGTAGTTTTACTAGTTCTTTAGCCTTGGAGAGTGTTCCCTGGTCAAAGTGGTCCCTGGTCAAAGTGCCAAGAAGATGGCGACTACTGGATGGCATATGTTCTGTATCAGAAACTACAGCTGATGTAGTCTATCCAATGCAATTTTCTGAGTCAGCACCCCAAATAACCAAACCAAATCTAAAGTTGACCAAAAACAAATTCGTATCCCTTTATGGTACTAATGTTGGAGAGTGGTCCCTGGTCAAAGTAGTCGCTGGTCAAAGTGGTCCCTGGCGGAAAAAAAAAGTTTGGAACCAATGTTTTTGAATGATCTGGTGTCATTCGAATGCATTGGACTACAAATTCCTCCATCCCCATGCAATATGGCTATGAGGAAAGATTATAATTTTAATCAGACTTGGTTAAGACTGTTTCAGAAGTAGTATTTTGGTTTTTTAAAAAGAAGTACTCAGAAGTTGTACAAAATGGTTCAAATGGAAAACGAGATTCCATTTTAGGGTGAAAATACTCATTTTGCTGACACCAAACTGTGGCATGCCCACACAACCGCAGCTGGATTTTACTCTGCACATACTCTTCTCACAGACTACTTCATTTTAAAAAAACTTTTAAAGGGTCTGTCAGCATCTCATTGTAAACTCTTATTGTCAGGGGTTTATAACTCAGCTGTAAAAATTTCTCTGTTTCCCCGGGAGCTTAAACTTGGCACAAATATCTCAGCCAGGATGTAGAGTCTGTAAGATATATATATATATACACACACCAAACATCTGTTTGGCCATTTTTAAACTCTCAATGCAAAATCAATAGGCGTTTCAAATTTCTTTCTTGGAGGGCGACTCTTTGAAACAGGCAACATATTATTAAAAAACAAAAATTCGAGATGTTCTCATTGTGAAATGTGGGCTGGAGAGAATTTAGGAAATCAATTAAGCCTTGTAGGTGGATGAACAATGACTGCATGTGAACTTGGAAGATTCACATTTCATTCCAGCATTGCTACAGACCGTTCCAAGTATTCTAGTGCATTTTCTGTCATGGTGGGCAAGCTTTTAAAGAAGGTACAGCGTAGCCTTATCTGCTAAGAAAAAAACTCTAAATCAACAGTGTGTGCATGGGTTGTTCATGCTGTAATCTGACAGTAATCTCTCATAGAATTACACACTTGGTGAATCAGGGGAATGCTGTTGATGTAGTGTATCTTAATTCCAATAAGGTTTCATGACATGGCAGTATTGTAGCAGACAGGTTGGTAAAATGTGGGCTAGACAATGCTACTGTTAAATGGATTTGAAACTCTTTGACACATCATATTCAGCTAGTCAGGCTCAAGGGACATAATAGTACCATACCGCTTTGAACATCTTTATCAGCAGTATACAAAATGGAGTCCACAACATGCAAGTGTGGAGGACAGCAAACCACAGACCAGTGCCAGGGGACAGTTCCACCAACTGCCGCTCAGGGCCAGAGTGAAAAGAGAGGGGGCCAGGGAACTGTTCCACTTTGTCTCCTGCATGCGTCATCAGTTGGGGACCTCTCCCCCAGCACCAACTGCGGCTCTGGGCCATAGTGAAGAGAGAGGGGGGCAGGGGACAGTTCCACTTTGTCTCCTGCATACGTCATCAGTTGAGGAACCCTCCCCCCCCCACACCAACTGCTGCTCTGGGCCAAAGTGAAGGGAGAGGGGGCCAGGGGACAGTTCCATCTTGTCTCCTGCATATGTCATCGGTTGGGGACCCCTCCCCCAACATCAACTGCTGCTCTGGCCCAGACTGAATAGAGGGGACCAGGGGACAGTTCCACTTTGTCTCCTGCATACGTCATCACTTGAGGACCCCTCCCCCAGCACCAACTGCTGCTCTTGGCCAGAGTGAAGAGAGAGAGGGCTAGGGGACAGTTCGATCTTGTCTCCTGCATGTCATCAGTTGGGGACCCCTCCCCCAACATCAACTGCTGCTCTGGCCCAGAGTGAATAGAGGGGTCAAGGGGACAGTTCCACCTTGTCTCCTGCATACGTCATCACTTGGGGACCCCTCCCCCAGCACCAATTTCTGCTCTTGGCCAGAGTGAAGAGAGAGAGGGCTAGGGGACAGTTCGATCTTGTCTCCTGCATGCGTCATCAGTTGGGGACTCCTCCCCCCAACACCATCTGCCGCTCTGGGCAAGAGTGGAGAGAGAGGGGGCCAGGAGACAGTTCCATCTTGTCTCCTGCATATGTCATCAGTTGGGGACCCCTCCCCCAGCACAACTGCTGCTCTGGCCAGAGTGAAGAGAGGGGGGGCCAGGGGACAGTTCCACCTTATCTCCTGCATACGTCATCAGTTGGGGACCCCTCTCTCCAGAACCAACTGCTGCTCTGGGCCAGAGTGAAGAGAGGGGCCAGGGGACAGTTCCATCTTGTCTCCTGCATATCTCTGGGGACCCTCCCCCCAGCACCAACTGCGCTCTGGGCCAGAGCGAAGAGAGGGGGGGCCAGGACAGTTCCATCTTGTCTCCTGCTGTGTCATCAGTTGGGAGCCCCTCCCCCAGCACCAACTGCTCTGGGCCAGAGTGAAGAGAGAGGGGGCAAGGGGACAGTTCCACCTTGTCTCCTGCATGCGTCATCAGTTGGGGACCTCTCCCCCAGCACCAACTGCTGCTCTGGCCCAGAGTGAAGAGAGAGGGGGCCAGGGGACAGTTCCACCCTGTCTCCTGCATACGTCATCAGTTGGGGACCCCTCCCCCCAGCACCAACCCCTGCCCTGGGCCAAAGTGAAAGAGAGGGGGCCAGGGACAGTTCCATCTTGTCTCCTGCATATGTCATCAGTTGGGGACCCCTCCCCTCAGCACCAACCTCTGGGCGAAGAGAGGGGGGGGGGCAGGGGACAGTCCCATCTTGTCTCCTGTGCTATGCTAATAATATAATGTAATATAATATATTGTATATACATATAATATTTATAATATTATAATGTAATGTAATGTAATAATGATATAATTAGATATTTAAATTACATGTCATATTACTAATAATATTTCAATATAATGGTATAACAAAATATAGTAATATTTAATACTGATATTGTACTATGCTAATAATATAATATATTGTATGTATGTGTGTGTGTATATATATATATATTGTAAGCCAATCTGTGTCCCCTTCAGGGTGAGAAGAGTGGCATTTAATGTCGTAAATAAATAAATAAATATTACAATTCAACCTGAGCCCTGTCACAACCTCTGAGAATGCCTGCCATAGATGCAGGCGAAACATCAGGAGAGAATTCTTCTGGGACATGGCCATACACATTTCATCTTAAATCCATACACATAATCCATTTCTTTTCCTAGTTTGAAAATTGTATTTCCTCTTTAATTGTGCAGCCCTTACTTTGAAAGTAGTTGCTTAATTCCAGAAACTTTGTTTTGGTGATTGCCACAAACTATGTTGAATTGCTTAAGACTCTCTGAGAGATTCATTGAAAAACTATAACAACATGTGCTGCAGGATATCCTGCAAAAGCAAAGTGTTTGCCATTTAGTAAACTTTTTCCATGTCTTTATGATAGAACCCATTAGGAAATGACATTCACAACACAGGATCATAGGCTAATTTATGGTTTGTACAATGCAACTTTACTGGGCACTAGACGTGTAGCAGAAGGACTCAGCTTGATGCCAGAGACAGGGATGTTTCCCCTTTTAGGCTCATTCTGCATCTACCTGGCACTTAATGTCTGATTGCCGTACTGGGAAACCTTCCAATATGTCCCCCCAGAAGAAGGACCAGCATTTTGTGGCAGATTGCCTCTTGGCTTAAACCTAACCAAAGGTCAGCTTGGACGGAGGGAAGAGGAGGGGAAATGCGGAGAACTCACAGCCATAGGGAGATCCTGTGGGAGAGCCGTTAATGAATCCAGGCGAGCCAGGCACGCCCAGGTTAGACATGGGGACGTTGCTGTAGCCGTTCATGCTGTTACTGGAGGTGCTGTAATTAGACTGCTGAGGGGTCGAGCTGGAAGAGTAACCTCGGGGGGAGATGCTGCTTGTGTTGCGGATGTAACCTGCAAGAAATAAACACCCAGTGAGTGCCGGCAGTTGAGGCCAACACGATGATCTCTCTCAGTCATACTATCTTTGCTTACCTGCTTTGCTTTCTATTGTGTTTAGTTAAAAAAAGAAAGAAAAGAAAATGCATTCAGCTACATCTTTGCATTAGTTAGTGATTCCTGGCTGGCGACCTTTTAGTAAGTCATGATGGCACAAGTTGGACTTGTGCCCCTACTACTGTGTTTCTCCGAAAATAAGACACTGACTTATATTTATTTTTCTTCAAGATGACACATTGTATTTATTTCCAATGGTGTGCCTGTAGCTTAGTAGCTGTCAGTCTGAGGTAAACCTCAGTGGGAGAAAGGTCTCAGTCTGTGGGAAGGCCTTAGTCTGTGAGAGAAGCCTCTGTGTGAGGTAGGCCTTAGTCTATAACTGTTTCTCAACCTGGGGGTCGGGACCCCTGAGGGGGTCGCGAAGGGGTGTCATAGGGGTCGCCAAAGACCATCAGAAAACACAGTATTTTCTGATGGTCATGGGGATTCCATGTTGGAAGTTTGAGCCAATTCTATCGTTGGTGGAGTTCAGAATGTTCTTTGATTGTAACGAACTATAAATCCCAGCAATTACAACTCCCAAAAGTCAAGGTCTATTTTCCCCAGGCTCCACCAGTGTTCACATTTGGGCACATTGAGTATTTGTGTCAAGTTTGGTCCAGATCCATCATTGCTTGAGTCCACAGTCTGGATATAGGTGAACTACAACTCCAAAAACTCAAGGTCAATGTCCACCAGACCTTCCCAATATTTTCTCTTGGTCACGGGAATTCTGTGTGCCATGTTTGATTCAATTCCATCATTGATGGAGTTCAGAAGGCTCTTTGATTTAAGATGAACTATAAATCCCAACAACTCCAGCATTACCAAATGACAAAATCAATCACCCCCAACCCCACTAGTATTCAAATTTTGGGCATATCGCGTATTTGTGCCAAATTTGGTCCAGTGACTGAAAATACATCCTGCATATCAGATATTTACATTACAATTCATAACAGTAGCAAAATTACAGTTATGAAGTAGCAACGAAAATAATGTTATGGTTGGGGGTCACCACAACATGAGGACCTGTACTAAGGGGTCGCGGCTTTAGGAAGGTTGAGAACCACTGGTCTATGAGAAGGGCGAGTATGAGGAAGGCCTGTTGAGAGAAGCTTTGGTGAGAGGAAGCCCCAGGTTAACATTTCTACTCCAGCCCGAAAAATCTACAACAACCCACATACACAATGACCGGGACCTGACAGGGAGAGCCGACCCTGTACACTGCATAACCACACCTATCACTATGTCTTATTTTTGGCGCAGGGCGTACATTGCGCAAATGCTTAGAAATCCTGCTATGGATTATTTTATGGGTATGTCTTATTTTCAGGGAAACAGGGTTCTTGTTCTGTTATAACCGCACAACAACTAAAAGACCCACAGCCCATGATGAGCCCCACAGTTTCTTCCCACAACAAAGGCATTTCCAGGTTGTCAGAGAATAAGGTGACACATCCAGCTATTTTATTCCTTTGGCCAGATGCACTAAAATACGAGGGGTATTTTTAAAGTAAGGTCCGTTTTGTTGTAGATACTAGTAGTTTGCGCTCATACCGCAACGAGCGCGTGCGTCATGTACCGGCATGCCTGGGGAACCACTGTGCTCAGTTTCCGCTCTGTAGCTCGCCTGTACGGTTCTGTTCTGTGCTTTAAAGATGTTTAAGACTCTCAAGCGTGCGTCGTGTACCGGCATGCGTCGGGAACAACTGTGCTCAGTTTCCGCTCTGTAGCTAACCTGTACGGTTCTGTTCTGTGCTTTAAAAATGTTTAAGACTATCAACTCACCCGCCGCATGTGAGGTTCGCTCAGTGATACAGTTTTTGTCAGCAAGGAACCTGCCTGCTGCAGAAATTCATCGACAGATTTGTGAAGTGTACGGTGATACTGTTATGAGTGAAAGCAAAGTGCGTAAGTGGGTACGACAATTCAAAGATGGCCGTGAAAACGTCCATGATGAGGACCGCTCCGGTCGCCCTTCTTTGATTACAGACGATTTGGTGGCTTCAGTTGAAGCGAGGATTCATGAAGAGGGTATTTTAAAATTGGTTCAGAGGTATAATAAGTGTTTGAACAAACTTGGCAACTATGTCGAAAAATAGAGTGAAGTATGTACTTTCTGAAAATAAATTTACTTTTTTGAAATAAACTTTCATTGTGTACTTATGTTCCAACGGACCTTACTTAAAAAATACCCCTCGTATATCATCACAGGATATGTGGATATGTGGAATATTGCTATACAAAAAAGTATTAAAAAGAATTTTGTAGTTGGAAACTTATTCTGCCCAAAAAAAAAAATCCTTGCAACAATTTTCTACATAGGAAGCAATTTTTAATGCAGAAAATAATACTTTTGCATAGAAATACAGTAGACTCTAAGATTGTCTGGGGAGGGCCTGCTCTCAGTCCCACCTTCTTTGCAGACACATTTGGTGGGAACAAGGGACAGGGCCGTCTCAGTGGTGGCCCCTCAGTTGTGGAACACACTTCCTAGGGATATTAGATTGGCCCCCTCACTCCTAACATTTTGTAAAAAAGTTAAAACCCGGCTTTTTGAGCAAGCATTTTCAAATGCCGTGTAACAGGCAAATCTAGATCTTCGGAATGACTGGACGATGCGACTGGAAAATGATTTTAGTAAGGAGATTCTAAGGATTTATGTTTTTATTGGTTTTGTATGTTTTTTATATTATATAGTAAATGTTTTAATTGTATTTTATGTTGTTGGGGGCATCGAATTGTGCCAACTGTAAATCGCCTTGAGTCGCCTTCGGGCTGAGAAAGGCAGTATATAAATATGGCAAATCAATCCATCCTAGAATCCTAGAGATGGAAGAGACCTCCTGGGCCATCCAGTCCAACCCCATTCTGCAAAGAAGCAGAAATATTGCATTCAAATCACCTCTGGCAGATGGCCATCCAGCCTCTGCTTCAAAGCTTCCAAAGAAGGAGCCTCCACCACACTCCGGGGCAGAGAGTTCCACTGCTGAACGGCTCTCACAGTCAGGAAGTTCTTCCTCATGTTCAGATGGAATCTCCTCTCTTGTAGTTTGAAGCCATTGTTCCTTGTCCTAGTCTCCAGGGCAGCAGTAAACAAGCTTGCTCCCTCCTCCTCTCACATATTTATACATGGCTATCATATCTCCTCTCAGCCTTTTCTTCTTCAGGCTAAACATGCCCAGCTCCTTAAGCCGCTCCTCATAGGGCTTGTTCTCCAGACCCTTGATTATTTTAGTCGCCCTCCTCTGGACAATCAATCAATCAATCAATAATAACCACCAGCACCCATGGGAATTGATAGATGCCATGTAATGTAGTGGTGGCCTATTTCCTTGGGGCTGGGTTGGGAGCTCACCAATGCTGGCACAAAGCCCTGGCTCTGAGTGCGGGGTGAAGGGTTGCCTGCAAACGCCGCACCGCTGCCTAAGAGCTCTTACAGGTTCTCACCCTTGAAGAATGTTTCCCTGGCTGACATGAACACGCCTTTGTTTGACAACATGTGTACATTTGGCGGATCACATCTGATTATTGAAAGAATGTGGCAGGGTGTTTCAAGATCTGGAAAAAATTAGCACACAAGTGTTTCTAATGTTTATGACATGAACATGGGATTTAGCCGCAAATTGTGGTCAAGGCTGTACCTTCTCAATTATTTCAACAGATAGAGAGAGAAACTCTCCACTACATAATAAAAAAATAGTTTGGTAAGTGTAAAAGGAAGAAATGCCTTCACATGACACATATTCGTGGAGTCCGTGAGGTTGAGTTATAGTGCTGGCTTAGGTAAAAGATAAAAAATGCGGGAATCCAAAGTTGGAAGTCATTTCCATAGGTTAACTTTTCCCAAATAGATTGAGCATCCCTTATCAGAAATATTTGGGACTACAATACTTCCAAATTTTGGATTTTCTCCCCTCAGATTTTTGCCACTACTTTTTTTTCTTGTGTCCCGCTTTGTGCTGGTCAGTGACCATAATAAAGTTTTGTATTATATTGACTAATTTTTGTTCTTGAATTTACCTCTTTAGCAAGTAAAAAAGAGCCTCCCAACAATGCAGTGTTCCCTCTCCCCTTCATGGTTCGCTTATCGTGGACTCGCTGTTTTGCGGTTTTCCCTGCAAAGGCCTCCTCCTCACCTTCCCTCCCTCTCTCTCTTACACACACTCTGCCTTCTGTTTCCTCTCCTCTTTCCCCTCCCTTCCTCGGGTGCTCATGCCACCCTCCGCTTTCCCTCCTCTTGTCCCTCTTGCTCGGTTCACGGTTCGCTTATCGCAGACTCGCTGTTTCGCAGTTTTCCCTGCAAAGCCCTCCTCCTCACCTTTCCTCCCTCTCTCTCTTACACACACTTTTCCTTCACTTTCCTCTCCTTTCCCCCCTCCCTTCCTCCCTCCCTTGGGCGCTCATGCCACCCTCCGCTTTCCCTCCTCTTGTCCCTCTTGCTCAGTACGGTTCGCTTATCGCAGACTCGCTGTTTCGCAGTTTTCCCTGCAAAGCCCTCCTCCTCACCTTTCCTCCCTCTCTCTCTTACACACACTTTTCCTTCACTTTCCTCTCCTTTCCCCCCTCCCTTCCTCCCTCCCTCGGGCGCTCATGCCACCCTCCGCTTTCCCTCCTCTTGTCCCTCTTGCTCAGTTCACGGTTCGCTTATCGCAGACTCGCTGTTTCGCAGTTTTCCCTGCAAAGCCCTCCTCCTCACCTTTCCTCCCTCTCTCTCTTACACACACTCCGCCTTCTCTTTCTTCTCCTCCTTCCCCTCCCTTCCTCCCTTCCTCGGGCGCTCATGCCACCCTCCGCTTTCCCTCCTCTTGTCCCTCTTGCTCGGTTCACGGTTCGCTTATCGTGGACCCGCTGTTTTGCGGTTTTCCCTGCAAAGGCCTCCTCCTCACCTTCCCTCCCTCTCTCTCTTACACACACTCTGCCTTCTGTTTCCTCTCCTCTTTCCCCTCCCTTCCTCGGGTGCTCATGCCACCCTCCGCTTTCCCTCCTCTTGTCCCTCTTGCTCGGTTCACGGTTCGCTTATCGTGGATTTGTGGTTTTCCCTGCAAAGCCATCCTCCTCACCTTCCCTCCCTCTCTCTCTTACACACACTTTTCCTTCTCTTTCCTCTCCTCTTTCCCCTCCCTCCCTCCCTCTCTCCCTCCCTCGGTTGCTCATTTCCTCCTCCACTTTCCCTCCTCTTGTCCCTCTCGCTCAGCTTTTGCAGGAGCTGCTGCCGGTGGAGACCTGGCTGAAGGGGCAGTGGCTCCAGCGTCTCCCTCCATTTCCTCCCCAGCCCCAGGATCTTCTTCTTTCTCCTTCTCTTCTTTCTCCCACAGCCTCAGGAGGGAAAGTGGTAGAGGAAGGAAGGCAAGGAGGGAGGGAGAGAAGGCAAGGAGGAGGGCCACACATGCAAAAGTGTCCCTCTGGAATGTGTCCAGAGGAGGGTGACTAAAATGATCAAGGGTCTGGAGAACAAGCCCTATGAGGAGCGGCTTAAGGAGCTGGGCATGTTTAGCCTGAAGAAGAGAAGGCTGAGAGGAGATATGATAACCGTGTATAAATATGTGAAAGGAAGCCACAGGGAGGAGGGAGCAAGCTTGTTTTCTGCTTCCTTGGAGACTAGGACGCGAAACAATGGCTTCAAACTACAAGAGAGGAGATTCCAGACCCTTGATCATTTTAGTCACCCTCCTCTGGTCACATTCCAGCTTGTCAATTTTTCTCTTATTTTTTTAACCCCCCCCCCCCAATAATATTAACATATTATCATTTTCTTACATACTTCAGGACACTTGTTATTCGACTTGGTCAAAATTAGCTGAATAATTTGAGTTATTTGATTGCAGATTACCAACATTTAATGCTCCATCACCTTATTCATCTATGTTCAGTGTTTTGTAAGCTTACACAAATAGATTCAGGAGATCAATGCAATCACTTAAGAAGGTTTTAATACACTGCATCTTGAGAAAGTGAGCAGATCCGCTCTTTGATCCGCATAGCGCCTTCACTAATTGGCTTATTAACGGAGACTGATATCCCTAATCCAGGTAGTCCTTCAAACAGAGACCACTTTCAAATATAAGCCTTCAAGGCAGTGATTCTCAACTTGGTGGTCCCCAGATGTTTTGGCCTTAGAATCATAGAATCAGAGAATTGGAAGAGACCTCATGGGCCATCCAGTCCAACCCCCTGCCAAGAAGCAGGACAATTGCATTCAAATCACCCCTGACAGATGGCCATCCAGCCTCTGTTTAAAAGCCTCCAAAGAAGGAGCCTCCACCACACTTCAGGGTAGAGAGTTCCACTTTTGAACAGCTCTCTGCAAAGATGCCACCAATTTGCGATGATTTTGTAAAGGAATCACCGATTTGTGAAGAAGCCACCACTTTGTAAGGGCTTATTAAATTGATAGCGTAGCTAATAGCTAGTAATATTGATTCGTTCAGTCGCTTCTGATTCTTCGTGACCTCATGGACCTTCCCACGCCAGAGCTCCCTGTTGGCCGTCACCTTCCCCCAGTTCCTTCAGAGTCAAGCCAGTCACTTCAAGGATGCCATCCATCCATCTTGCCCTTGGTCGGCCCCTCTTCCTTTTGCCTTCCACTTTCCCCAGCATAATTGTCTTCTCTAGGCTTTGCTGTCTCCTCATGATGTGGCCAAAGTACTTCAACTTTGTCTCTAGTATCCTTCCCTCCAATGAGCATCGGGCTTTATTTCCTGGAGGATGGACTGGTTGGATCTTCTCGCAGTCCAAGGCACTCTCAGAACTTTCCTCCAACACCACATTTCAAGCATCTATCTTCCTTCGCTCAGCCTTCCCTATGGTCCAGCTCTCACATCCGTAGGTTACTATGGGGAATACCATTGCTTTAACTATGCGGATCTTCGTTGCCAGTGTGATGTCTCTACTCTTTACTATTTTATCGAGACTGGACATTGCTCTCCTCCCAAGAAGTAACGTCTTCTGATTTCCTGGCTACAGTCTGCATCCGCAGTAATCTTTGCGCCTAGAAATACAAAGTCTGTCACGGCCTCCACGGTTTCTCCCTCTATTTTCCAGTTGTCAATCATTCTTGTTGCCATAATCTTGGTTTTTTTGATGTTTAGCTGCAACCCGGCTTTTGCGCTTTCTTCTTTCACCTTGATTAGAAGGCTCCTCAGCTCCTCCTCGCTTTCGGCCATCAGGGTGGTGTCATCTGCATATCTAAGGTTGTTAATGTTTCTTCCAGCAATTTTCACCCCAGCCTTGCATTCATCAAGCCCCGCACATCGCATGATGTGTTCTGCATACAAGTTAAAAAGGTTGGGTGAGAGGATGCAGCCTTGCCGTACGCCTTTCCCAATCTTGAACCAGTCTGTTGTTCCGTGGTCAGTTCTGACTGTTGCTACTTGGTCCTTGTACAGATTCCTCAGGAGAGAGGGAAGGGGGCTTGGTATGCCCATCTCACCAAGAACTTGCCACAATTTATTATGATCCACACAGTCAAAGGCTTTAGAATAGTCAATGAAGCAGAAGTAGATGTTTTTCTGAAACTCCCTGCCTTTCTCCATTATCCAGCGGATATTGGCAATCTGGTCTCTCGTTCCTCTGCCTTTTCTAAACCCAGCTTGAACATCTGGCAACTCTCGCTCCATGTATTGCTGGAGTCTTCCTTGCAGGATCTTGAGCATTACCTTACTGGCATGAGAAATAAGGGCCACTGTACGGAAGTTTGAGCAGTCTTTCGCATTTCCCTTTTTTGGTATGGGGATATAAGTTGATTTTTTCCAGTCTGATGGCCATTCTTGTGTTTTCCATATTTGCAGGCAAATGGCATGCATCACCTTGACAGCATCATCTTTTAAGATTTTAAACAGTTCAGCTGGGATCCCGTCGTCTCCTGCTGCCTTGTTGTTAGCAATGCTTCTTAAGGCCCATTCAACCTCACTCCTCAGGATGTCTGGTTCTAATTCATTCACCACACCGTCAAAGACTATCCTCGATATTATTATCCTTCCTATACAGATCTTCTGTATAGTCTCGCCACCTTCTCTTGATCTCTTCAGCTTCTGTTACGTCCCTGCCATCTTTGTTTCTTATCATACCAATTTTTGCCTGAAATTTACCTCCAATGTTTCTAATTTTCTGGAAGAGGTCTCTTGTCCTTCCTATTCTGTTGTCTTCCTCCACTTCCATTCATTGCTTATTTAAAAATAGTTCCTTATCTCTTCTGGCTAACCTCTGGAATTGCGCATTTAACTGGGCATATCTCCCCTTATCCTGTTTCCTTTTGCTTTCCTCCTTTCTTGGGCTACTTCCAGTGTCTCAGCAGACAACCATTTTGCCTTCTTGGTTTTCTTTTTCTTTGGGACGTACTTTGTTGCCGCCTCCTGAACAATGTCTCGGACTTCTGTCCATAGTTCTTCTGGGACTCTGTTTACTAAATCTAGTCCTTCAAATCTGTTCTTCACTTCCACTGTATATTCGCTAGGAATGTTAGTTAGATCATATCTAACTGGTCTGTGTATTTTCCCTGATCTCTTTAGTTTTATTCTAAATTAGCTAGTAATATTGAATTGGTCTTTCTTCAATGTGTAGCATGACTTAACTTGGAAAGGATTTGTAACAGAGACTGGGCTTTATAAAAACTGTAACAAGTTTATTGAAATGTAGCAGAAGCTTGATGGTTTGAATGTTTCTTGACTCTTAGTGGCACATATCTTCAGAGGTTACACTTATAACATTCCTTAAAACAACTCTGGAAATGACTCTTCCTTCTACTAAACAGGCTTCAAACTTAATTTTCTTCAAACTGTGTTTCTTTTCTTTGTGATATTTCTGTTGCAAGAAAGATTTTCACTGGGTTTCTCTCATCCTTTCTACTCATACAATAAATGCTAATATAAATAAGTCAACTCAACTTATCTAAACTACCTAGGCTAAAAGCCAAAACCTTCCTGATCCTCACTACAGTAGAATCAGCCTTTCCCTGTAGTTTTTAAACTACAGTCTACCTTCCTGGTTCTCACCACTACAGAACCAGCCAGTCCTGCAGTTCACAGACTACAGACTGACTGTTTTAAAATGGCTGCCCTGCCAAGTGGCAGTTGGCTCTGCCCCTATTTCCATAGCAACCCAGCTCAAAGTGAGCTGAGCTGGCTATCATCCCCCCCCCCCCATTATGCAACTTTAAATACTTACCCTCTCAAACGCCTATCTATAACTATACATAACAGTAGATTAAAATTTACACTTCACCACACTCTCAGTCAGAAAGTTCTTCCTAATGTTCAGGGGGAATCGCTTTTCTTGTAGTTTGAAGTCATTGCTCTGCATCCTAGTCTCCACGGCAGCAGAAAACAAGCTTGCTCCCTCCTCCCTAGGACTTCCTCTCACATACTTATACATGGCTATCTTGCCTTCTCTCAGCCTTCTCTTCTTCAGGCTAAATATGCCCTGCTCTTTAAGCCACTTCTCATAGGGCTTGTTCTCCAGACCCTTGATCATTTTAGCTGCCCTCCTCTGGACACATTCCAGCTTAGAGTCAACAAACTTGCTCCCTCCTTATGGAAAAGGACTAATTAGTAATCTTAACAGCTGGCAAACTGGCTGGGATTTCTGGGAGTTGCAGACCAAAACACCCTGGGAACCACAGGTTGAGAACCACTGCTTTAAGGAGAGTATATGAGTATGCAAAACAACTATGGGTTTTTCAACCACCGAGGCCTCACATTATGTGGGTCTAATACCAACAGTGTTTACCTTGATTGTTCCCTTGTGTTGATTCTGAGATGCTGACTCCTAACTGGCTGCCATAAGAGTTGATGCCCATCATGCTACTGTGAGCTGGAGAGCTAGACAAAGCCGGGATTTGGCCAGGATTCCTTGGGACGCTGTAAAGGGCTTCTGCGATATCAGCAGCTCTCTTCAGAATGATATCCTGCAGGCAACAGGATGAAGAGGAGGCATTGGTGAGCAGAGAACAGAGAGAAAGAGAAAGGAGGAAGAGAGAAAGACTCACCTGATTATTATGTGGTGTCCCATACAGTGCTTCAACTAGGTCCGCTGCTCGTTTCAATAGCATCTCCTACAACGAGGAAGGAAGAAGCACCAAGAATTATGAAAAAGGACTAATTAGTAAGTTATGGCAAATAAAACTCCACCGGAGTATTTTTAAGTTTTGCATATATAATAGTTTAGGTATGGAAAGAAGATTCCAAGTTATTAATATCTGAGCTTTAAAAAGAAGTCAAGGATTGTGGAATTCTCTCCTTTGTAAATTCGGCATTGCTTCCAGGATTTAAACAGGAGAATTGTCTCCCTAGAAATATCTGGTGGAGCAATTGCCCATTTTAATTTTTGTTGTAATTGAGTTCAAAATAATCAAACAAAACCAAATAATTGTATACAGTGGGTTGTTGTAGGTTTTTCGGGCTATATGGCCATGTTCTAGAAGCATTCACTCCTGACGTTTCACCTGCATCTATGGGAGTTGAAAGCCTTCCTTCCTCTTGGAAATCTACTAAAGGACTTTGTTTGGTAAGGACCACTCACGGCAGCCATAATGCAATTTGGACCGGGTGTAGGGGCCCATGCCAGCAGAGC